ATAAAAAGCAAAGTTATCTGACATTCAACAGAATATGACCATGTGCTTTTTCCTTTTCCTAGTTGCCACTTGCAGAAATCTTGCATCAAAGACAAGTGATGACTTTGCTATCTAATCAGTCCTAAATTGGTTGTTCAGTCTACAAATTTTCCATTTTAACAGGCTTTGGTCATTTGAACATTAAAACTTTATGCTCAGATTCACAGGAGGCAGCAGAAATGGAAAATATTGCTGATCGGGTCATATCTTAGGTAACCAGAAAGTCTACCACTTACACTAGCTGCTTTCCTGCTGCTGTTGTAATAATTCCTTGGAAGGAAATAGAAAAAAGTCATCTAGTCTAAGAAATGCAAAGAATGGAAGAACGGTTCCTAAAATTTTGTAAATTTTTGGTTAATCTGGAAAATAGTTAACATCCACTTTTGAAGAGTACTTTGCTGCATCACTCGCAAAACCAAATATATAAACACACTCAGTTTAATGCCATCTTTCTGCCATGGTTAAATAGAAAGTTGTATTCAAAAAGCTTCAGCCATACTTTCTACAAATTAAAATAATTTCTTCTTTAACACGCACTTTGATATATATCTAAGGTAGAAGCACTTCTCTTGCCAGCATATGTGTAAGAGGATAATATTGTGAATTCATTTTGAAGAGGACAAATTTGGATACATACACACTGATTAATGTAATTCCCCTGTATCAGACTGAGAAGACTGTTACAGCTGGGAAAGGAGCCCAGATGCTCCAAAGCACAGTCTGGAGTAACCTATCACCTTTACCATGTCGGTCAGTCCCTGTTAACTGCCCAAGACACATGTGAGAAGTTGAATGCTCTTGTCCATTGAGCTGTCTCGTAGCAGTCACTACATCCCTGTGTGTTTTACTGCATGGTGTGCCTGTCTGGATTTGACTGTTATTCACAATGGCTCTGTCTTCCCTCCGCAGCTAGTAACGAATTCACAGGAGACGTGTTCTCAAGTCTTTTGATACAGCAAACATAATGCAAAATGAGTGAGACTTTCAGGTCATATTAAATAACCTGAGAGATGTCTATGGCTGTGTCTTCTTGCCTGCTGCCATTCCAGCAGGACATGGGGGTCTCTGTCTTCCGTATTGTCTACCAGCCCCAGATAGATGTTTTGAATATCCTACAGTATTGCAAATGGCACCAAGTGCCCAAGTTTAAATAACTGAATCTCTTCCTCAGTCTATTCTCTGCAGTTTACATAGGTTTGTGTTGTAATCCAACAGTTACAGTGGGACTTGTGGTCTTTACCTCTGGTACCATACCTGATGCTCGCCAGAACTTCTACAAAGTGCTTAAGGAGACTTAGGTCAGTTTTATCACGTGCAGAATGCCATGTAAAGAGGCTCTAATGATAACAAAATGGCAGCTTTTGTCAGTGCAAATGCATTGTCTTATCACTGGTTTGTGTTTCTTTTTAATGCAGCATTTCTAGCTAGGTTTATTGGAGAATTTTCTCTCTTTCTAAGAATGTAAACTTGCTCATAAATGTCTGTCTCCCATGGCACTAATTTGATGAAATGCTGCTCTAAGTTTCATTTTGTCTCCAACTGTGCAAATGACTGCTGAGGAGTAATTATGTATTGTAGCCTGAGCTCAGTGGAACACTAAAGGCTGTAGTTTAGTAGTCACTTTTCTCCGTTCTGTGTTCTTGCACAAATTTCTCGTAATCTACATAAGTAATAAGTGCGCAGGCTTCCAGGAATCGTGCACGTTTGCCATTTTGAGCCTGGACTAAATGGGCACCAGTGCTGCATTTTTAGTGCCTTACGTTTACCAAAAAGGCAATGTAAAGGTTATCAAGTTCTTCCCTAAGTCAAAAAAAGTGTGTGTGAGAAAATACCATTGGTAATGTTTATCCAGAATGTAAAACATGGTATCGGAATAAGTCATATTTTTCTTGGAGTATGGCCAAAACAGAGCTGTCAACAAAAGAAAAGTGTATAGGGTTAGAAGGGAAGAAGGCTAGGAAAAAAAAAAATAAAATTAGAGGTTCTTTTGTTTTCCTTTCCCATATACTGTTGTGAGAAAGAGTCTTCTTAGGCATATTTATAAATCATGTGAGCTACTGGAAACTACCAGACCTTCACCTCACAAAACACGTATCACACTTTAAATTCCCAATGCTAAGAATTTTAAGAAAAGCTCTGTGATTAATCTATACCTTCTGGCTTGCTTTGTAGGTGAGTTTGGAGATGAATTGAACAATAGCTCTTTCAGGAATTTGGAAATGCAAAAGAAAAGAACTGCTTTTTCTGAAGCTCCCTCTGTAAGAGCAAATAAGAATTCTTTCATTTTTACTGCATTGTTCCCTTTCCTTCAGAAAAATTCTGTGAATTGGATATTATTATCCCAGTTGTCTAGATAAGGAGATTGAAGCAGAGATTGAGAGGCAAATTATGTACAGTTACTGCATAAGTGCACAGAGGATAATGAAAGAGAACTCTGCTGACTGTTGCGCCCATCAAGGAGAAGATCATTTTGCTATAGGAGGCATTGGAAGATTCCCAATGATTGACATGAGAGAAGAGCTGGACAGTGCAATGGACCTACACTGCATATTCGGAGCCCCAAAATCCCTGTTCCAGTCCCAAATATGTTTCCCTAGATAAAATGCCCATAAAATTTTCGAGCCAATAGTTCCTATTATTTCCTGGAGAAAGCCCAGCACAGACAACCTTAGTAATGCAGGTTTTGGCTATATTATAGAATAGTCAGGCAATAGACAGAAAGATATGATCAGGTACCAAAAAGCTGGTGAGCTGGCATGGCCTTCATTCTCTGTTAGATATGGCTTTACACATTTTTCTTCCAAGGCTTTGAAAAACAACAAAACCAAAACACAGCAGCTTGAAGAGTCTCTCAACTTGTGTCACTAATTTGCTTCCAGCTGTGTACAACTATCCCACAAAACCAGCTTTGTAAAGAAGAAAGCAATACTTGCCTTCCATGCTGGATAGACCTGTTGCTTAGCTGGTGCACAGTTTGATTCTCCCATTGAAAATGCTCTCTTTGAGTTTGCAGATAAGTTGTTTTAAAATGCACTCAAAGAAGAGCAAGTGTTTTTTATTAATTTTATAAAACTTTCCACCACAAAAAAATTGTGAGATTCAGACAGTTCATTCTTTCTGCCACCTTTAAGTTGAGAGTTTTGTTTTCCAGTCTTCTCTTCCAGTCTGAATGCTGCAGTAAATTGAATTCTTCTGTCAGATAGCTCAAATGAGTAATCCACTGCTGTGTGTGTCTGTGTGTGTGTGCTTGTGCACACATGCTTCAGGGTACAGTAGGACTGCAGTCTTACAACAGCAGTTGCCTCTGCTGGAGACTTTGACTGATTTGTGCCACCTTTCTCTTAATCCATCAGGGGAAACACTCAGTTTACCATGAGTCTTGCAGTGTGGGGGCTGAGCCTGAGCATCATTAGTTGACACTGACTTCTGGGGATGTTCAGGGTCTGTCAAAGCTCAGGTCAATGGCAAATGTTGGAAAAAATTGTATTCCAGTCACAGAGCATTGTGTCTCTTCTTCTGTATTTAACCAACCAATACAGATTTCTGTCTTAGATTTCACTTTAGGAAATCGCTTAGGCACATATATAGCCTTGCCATCTTGAATCTATACCATCTGTATGTTCAGATCAACAAGGATGTGTATGTGAGGAAAGTTTTGGAAGCCTTCTCTGCATATGTATTTTGCTGTTTTCATCGATCCCACCTACGTGAACTCAGCTTTGTAAGTGCAAGGCAGTTTAGGTGCAAGTATATGAATTGGGCTCCAGGACCGTTATAGAAGATATAAAGAAAGGAGAGGTGAATGCTAAATAATTTTTTTTAATTAAAAATTAAAATGAAATTAAATGAAATAAAATAAAACCTGATGCTTCAACATGTGCTTTCAGTTGCTCCTGGTATGAGCAAGGGAAAAAATCAAACAATAAAATAGCAAAAAAGGAAGCTACATTGTTAGACATAAATGAAATTGATGTCAGGAAAATGCCTGAATTTTTATTCAGATTACTATCTTAAACGGCAGCAGAAGAATAGCATTTTTCAGGTAGTATTTGGTAAACTACCAAAAAAAAAAGTAATCTGTTACTGTATTTGTGCCATTAAGGGTTTGATCTTGAAAAGGGCAAATTTGCTTCACCTGACCAGAGTTAGTTTAAGTGTGCCTAGAATGGAAAATTATTTTTCAATAGGCTAATCACAAGGGCAAAACTTAGATACAGTGTCACAGACAACAATGTTTTAAATTCAGGTGAGGAACAGGTAGCTGGAAAAAATGAACTGCTCAATATGAAATCTTAACTTCAATGAGTTAGACAGAAAAGCTCTGCTGGTCAAGATTTTTCTTCCTAGGAAACAGAAGGTCTGTTGTGTAACAGGTTGCCATGTGGTGGGTTTTTTTTTATTTTAGTTATTTTTTTGTTAGGATTTTTCTTAGCTACATCTTTTTCTTTTTTTTTTTTCTTTTTTTTTCTTTTAATAAGCCAAGACAATACTTGGCACTCATTCTGATTTCAGACTTGGTTTAGATCATTGTACAACTTCATCAAAACCCATAGAATTATTTTCTGGCAAAATCAGGCCCCTTGATATGTTTCATTCGGAACAGCTCTCAAGGGATTAGTTTCTCTTCCCTCCTCCCCTCCCTCCCCTCAGGATACAGAGTGATTGTCTAACAGCACTTCACTGTATTTATTTTTCATTACCATGCAATTTTTATTTAATTAAGGTGAAGATATATTGGCACAGTGGGTGCATAGGATCGCTAGTGGTCTGCTTTAAAATTGTATGGATATGCAAAACCTTTGCTTTGGCATATGCTGCTTTTCTGCAGCCCAGATGAACTGCGTACTTCACATTGAAGCCAGCCCGTTTCTTTGCAACAGGCTTTATTAATCCTAATCTTTTGATCATGAGTAACAACTGAGTATGCTCAGGCACCACAGAGATCCTTTCTAGATGTGGATGTGTCATTATGGCGGTGTGTGTCTCTAAGGTGGCATATTTTTCATATTTTGGGGAATGAGTTTCATAACCCCCGTGGAACCAAAGGGCCTGAAATTATAGTGTATTTCAGAGCAACAGTGCAAAGCAAAAAAATGGGGAGACCCAACCTTTTTCTCCTCTTTTATGTAGTGGGAGAGATGAAGAAATGACTTCGGCTAAGCATGAGAATGAGGATATATTCATTGCTGCACGACTGCAGAAGACTTCGGCTGGCCTGGATGAAGATTTAGAAGGTAGGGAAGTGTGTTACCTATGAAGTACAAAAGAGAGAGGAATAGCCAGGAGACACAGAGTCAAACTGTACTTAAACATGTGCATATTTCTCACCAAGATCACTGGGAACAACTCACAGGTCTGAGGAAGAATATGGTCCATCCAAAGCAGCTGTTCTCCCTTTGCTCATAGGACAGCCTCTCTTTATAGGCTCACAATGAATATTTTTCAAGCTGCTTATCAGATTGTTATTGTATTTTGGTGTCTGCTACCAAAAAGAGATGAACAGCAGTTTATGGGCCAAATTTGGTATAATTTCATTGACTTCAGTGAAGCTAAATCAGTTTTGAATTTAGCTCTGTGTTTAATGAACAGTGCCTCTGTTTTATATTTTATCATAATGAAGTGGAGAAGGGGGGGACATTTTTGTACCCAATGCCTTCTCTGTGTTAGCAGATGTATTTTAAAGTTAAAAATTTAAAAACATGAAACAGTGGGAAGAGATAAAATGTCATTTTGTGCTCCTCTTTTTCCTACTGTGAATAAAATATTTCTCTATTAATAGTTTGTCACCAAATGATGTTGAATAGTTTTTTAAAACTTCCCATCTTTATTTCAGTATTTCTTCAGTGGATTTGATTCTGATTTAATTTCTGAGTTCTCTAACACTGCAAGTTCTTAGCTTCTGTGTTGTAACCCTTGATTTATACCAGCAAAGTTGAGAGAAGAGTTAAGTTTCTTGCACAGTGAGGCTTCTGGAGTCACTGGTAATGAAGGGTGAGAAGAATAGAGAAAAAATATAAGCACTGTTTCTTTGTTTGCTTGCTCAAGGAAATCCTTCAGCTGGGCTGTTATTACTTACCAGGTCTGGGAAACATAATTTGGAGTTGTTCTCTGTTTCTCAGAAATGTTTCTCCTTTGGAGTCATGTGGTGAAATGTTTATCACTGAGAGAAGTTAGTCAAAGATAAAGTATGAACAATAGATTAAATTCTGCTTTCAGCTGCATTTGTATGTTTCCCACTGGCTGAAGCAGGAGGACTGCAGGAATATTTGGCTGATCTTAATCAGCAACCAGACAATAAAAAGGACCCAGATCTCTCCTTTTTTGTAATAGAGACATAAATATATTCCTGTTAGTTTTCATGTAGCTAAAATATCTGATCTGCTTAAGTTTGTACTGGCTGTTTGTGTAATTTAAAGTCATATTGCCTAAATACTGTCTGTATATAATGTTGTATGTGTATTTTGCAGCAGTGGATAGTATAAGTAACTCTGACTCCAAGTACATCAATGAAGTGTTGAGCCCTCATATAAGAAAAGTTGAGGCTGCCCAAGATGTTACCATTTCTGTTCCAGTAACAGTCATAGATGATATTCCAGAATTTAACACCTCTAACTCAGCTGGAAATCAAGAGACAGAGACAAGGGTTTCACAAAATATCTCAGCTGACTCTGTTAATACAGGAAACTTTACAAATAAAAACAACAATGCAGGTTCCTTTGATAAGGGACACACAGATGGTGGAGCTGTATGCATATCCAAGGACCTAATATATCAGCAACCATCTGAAAATGAATTCAGTCATTTGCCTGTGGAACAGAGGAGAGATATGTTTGAATATCTCACATCCTCCTTCGAAAAAAGAAGTGAAAAGAACTTAAGACTGGACCCTCCCCCCAGACATGCTGTGAAGTCTGAGGAGTGTAAATCTAAGATGACTCCATCTCACTCCAAGGCCACAGCTGAAATCGGTACAGCAAAGGAGAAGATTAATCCACTTAATGACTGTAGTAACAGAGAAAGATCTCTGAAAAAAAGTAAATCAGAATTAGAAATCAAATGGCCACCAGCAAAAAAAATTGATGCAGAAGTCCCATCAACACCCACATGGTGTCATCGTGCCCAGAATTCAGGAACAAGCTATGAACCTAAAATGGGTTTGACAACCTTTAAAGTTGTCCCTCCCAAACCCGAAGTAAAACATTTTGATAGAGGAGTTTCACTCTCCACTGGTGCCATTAAGATAGATGAACTAGGCAACCTTATAGGCCCAAACACGGGTGTCAGTAAGCCCATTCCAAGTACCTCTACTGATGAAAGTGAGGAAATTCATCTTGGGAAAGTAAAAGCATTCTGGAGGTCAAGTTCTATGGAAAAGCAAAGTGATGACTCTGCTGAGCATCTTCCTAAAAAGTCAGCAGTCACCGCAAACTCCAAACCCTTTACTATAAAACATGAACATAAACCTGTCAGTCTTGCAGCTCCAAAACCTGTAGCACCACAAATTGCTACTACCCAGGTAGCTGAAAGACAGTCTGAGAATGAAAGGACCAAACCACCTCTTCCAGTTACACAGTCTCAAGTAACACCATTAGTGGCCTCAACCATTAAGGACAAGCTGGAGCTTCCATTTGTAAAGCCACATAGGAGAACTTCAAGTCAATATGTTGCCTCTGCCATTGCAAGACACATCAGCGTAACTACCTTTAAGCCTGACTCTACGGAACATCTTCAGAAAGATGAAAATAAGCAAAGGACAGAAGAGGTTAAAACTGAAGCAGAAGTTTCACCAAAAAGATGTATTATTATGGCCAAATGTAGCCCTGTGGAAACAGAACCAGCAGAAACAAGAGAAACATTTTCAGGTATTTTTACTTCCAGCCAGAAAGCATCCCACAGGTTTATACCTGGTGATAATTCTGGCGTGGAAAACAAAGTAGTTAACATCAGGGCACCAAATCAAGCAACTCCTCTGAGTTTCTATAAAAAGAATGCCAGCGTCCCACTTACTAAATCCTCTTCAAAGGATAACAACAGTGCAGAAGATGATCATGGTTTAAACAACAAACAAAGTATAGCGGAGAAAAAGATGCATCTTTTGTTTGACCAAAAATGTGAGACTTTGACCCATATTAATTCAGCCTCATCTCTCAAGTCGCCTGATCTCCAAGGAGTCCCATCCTCTTTCAACTCATCTTCACGAGTCCCTAAATGGCCTCCTGCTAACAGTGTACAAGTTAGTTTGCTTAAAGCTTCACCCGAACTAAATGGTGCCGCAGCAAACGCAGAGTCAGAACAGGAGGAGAAACCTGATGATTCAGATATTGATGCCATCAGTGAACTGGATATTAATGTGCAGACCAATATCTTTGGACCAAAGAAGAAGTTCAAACCTGTCGTCCAAAAACCAGTTCCAAAAGACACATCACTGCACAGTGCCCTAATGGAAGCCATTCAAACAGGAGGGGGAAAGGAGAAACTCAGAAAGGTAAGATGGAGACTTTCTTTAGCCTGTTCAGACTCCAGAGCCCTGTATTCACCCTGTCAGACACCAGAGGTTTTATAACCGATACAGCTGCTGGTGACCAGGAGTACACAAGGCATCTGAAAAATTTATAATGGTAAAATACACACCAAGCCACTGCTTATTCTGCACATCCTGTATATTATGCAACACCATTGCTGCTGCACTATCTAGAAGAGGCAGAGGGTGCAGAGATACAGCATAAAGGAGAGGAGAGGTAACTGAGGTTAGCCCAGGAGCTGAACCCACATTTCAGTGTGCTACGTAAAAACAGGAACACACAGCATGAAGAAAACTTGTAAATACCTCCAAGGAAGGAATACTGCATGTGTATTACTGGGTGATACTAGTTTGCCACTGACTTTGTGCTCAGGGGATATGAGACTGCATCTGCAAGTACAGCATTACTGTCTACACATATCCTCACCGTTCAGTGTGAGTAAGGGTTGTAAAAACAGACTCAAAAGAAAACAGACTTATTAGTCTCCATAGCTTGCATTCTGGTACAAGTGCCAAAAATATTTTTAATACCGTTTCCAAGCTATCTCTAAGTAAATATCTAATAACAATGTGAGGTTTATTCTTTTCATATTCTAGGTTTCAGACAGTGCACTAAATGGCAGTCACAGGAAACCCTCATATGCGGAGCCAGAGAATGAGCGCTCAGCCCTACTAGCAGCAATTAGAGGCCACAGTGGCACCTCAAAGCTGAAAAAGGTAAGAAATCAAGATGGTAAGTGATCCTTTAAGTGCAGTCTGTTCCTACTGGGTGTTTTGAATAAACCCAGATATGCCACAAACTAAACGGTGTGCTGCAAAGAGAAAAGTTAAGAACGAAATCATATCTGACTTACGCAGATAGCATAGCAGGTCCAATCCTATCCTCTGCCATAAAACTTAATATCTTTCAAATGGTGTGCTCTTAGCTGAGAAAGAAGCATGTAGAAATCCAAATGAATTACAGGGAGTGTAAGAAGACATCAAATGTTCATAATTTTCACATTTAGGTGGGGGTTTTTTGTACTTCAGGAGCGTGCAGTTAGGTTAATATCTTTGCTTTACCTACCACATGCATCCAATCCCAGTTACCTGAAAATTCGCTAGAGGTTTTTCATGCACGCTGTTTATCTGTTAACATGAGCTGGTGCATGCAAGTTGTATGCAAGTAATTGATGGTGATGGAACATCAGCTTTCGCCACAGCAGGATGATTCCTTCTGCCTGAAATTTTACCTAATCATTAAAGCATCTCTTATTTCTAATAGCCAAAAAGCTGCATTGTTCTAGCCTTAATTTTCACTCAGTTCCCTAATCCAGCCAAGGATGTGTATTTGGCAAGGAGGTTCCCGTTTCCCTTGTGCAATGACTCAGGCCATTAGCACATATCTAGATAGCTGGCATTAGATAGAAAGAATCTCCTGCCTGTGTTAGGGAATTACTTCATCCCTCACATATCTTACTACCCTTGCTGCAGGTAGGGTACAGCTTCCTCTGAGCCTGAGAACAGAATGTGGTAGGCAGCAGCCATCTTCACACGTACTTAACTGCATTCTGCATTCATTGGAAATAAATGTAAATTTGTGTAAAAGAGGCTCTGACAATGAAGTGGTGATGTATTATCATGATACTTTTTGGAATACTTTCCTCCAGCAGTGAAGCTTTTGCCATCATTTTAAAGGAAGTTGCCTGGAAACTGTACGCTTCTTTTCCATACCATCTCACCTGTGCTAGTTAAAGTACCATGTTTGTATGTGTACAAGGCAAGACATAGATGTGCTATGATGACAGGAGCTGTCCCTTTCATGTTATCTCAAATGTTCATGTTTTATCTGGCATTACATTATTCCCATATATTATGTGTGTGTGTGTACCTACTGTGAAGGAATAGAATATAGGATCTCTCTGAATGATGGGAGATGAATCCTTTCATATTTCACTAGAGAAGTTTTGTGCCTCAGTTTCTTTGAGAAAGGAAAGCTAATGCATCTGCTTGAAAACCTCCCCTTTGGCACATGATATTGAATTTCCTAATAATTGCCAAAGCATTGTAATTACTAACAATTTATCATGGTTATTACTAGTAATGTTGTTAACAGCAAAAATATTTGTTGAGACAGTTGACGGAAAAGCTGGCTTAGTTTGAAAGATTGCATCCTCTCCCTGCATTCATTTAAAGTAGGATGAGTTTCCAAGATGGTAATACGTGCAGAAATTTTAGTTTCAGAAATTCCACAGGAACACACTTGGAAGAGCAATCAATTAATTTTGTTCTCAGTGTTTTCACATAGTTCTTCCTGTTTTTTTGTTGTTTTGTTTTGGGGTTTTTTTTGTGTGCATGGCTGGAACCTTTAGGCTTAACAGCATTTTTTTCAGTGAAGCCATGTCTGAGAGCTCAGATCTAGAAGAGCCTCCCTGTCATTTGAGATTATTTCTCTGCAGCCCAGAGTGCAAAAAGTAATGAGATTCCTGGGTGGCTACTGCAGCTTTAATACATCTTCCTGATTCCAAAACCCTTGTGGTTGTTCCCAAATGAATACCAAGTTCAACTCTCTCTCTTACCTTACATGCCAAGAAGAGTTACAGGATGCTGGAGCTCACAGTAAATAAAGATTGAGTTTCTGAGACAGAGTCAATGCCAAATCCTTGATGCTGGTAATCAGCCCAGCTGAGTGATGTGAGTGAGTAGTAACAGATGTTCAATCCCATAAGCAAACAAAATTTCTGTGTTTTACATCATTCAAGCAAAGTGAAACTGGGGTGCTGAAAGTTCATCAAATGTCAAATAATTACAGTTTAGTCATGCCTGATATTAATCGCCTCCTTTCAACTGCACCATGAGCAGATCTCCTCATTGGCCTCCAAAGAGCTGCAGAGCTATAGGAATGCAGAACTGTCCTTGCGGAAGGCAGAAGACCCTCAGGAAGAGAAGCTTTGTATCCCACCTGCCCCTGCCCAGCCGCCACCACCTCCTCCCATTCAGCTGTCAGCAGCAGCTCCTAGATCCTCTGCCACGGCTACAGGTAACCCTGGGGAGGCAAGACAAGCCCTAATGGAGGCCATTCGCTCTGGTGCTGGAGCAGCAAAGTTGAAAAAGGTAGATATACTTTTATATTTTATTGTGGTTGAAACAGTTATGCTTGCTGTGCTTTGAGAGCCATTTATATGCTGTTCTAGCCACATATTTCTTCCATCAGAAGAAGGTACATGCACTGTTTTCTCTATCTAAATCAAAGATCAGGAGTGTATTTCAAATCTCTCAACAGCTATTAAAACATACTATTAAGACTAAACCAGTCTGTGCATATATGCAACCATGTGAATAGTCAAAATACTTTTTTTTTTTTTTAAGAGAACATCAAGAACATGAATATAATTTTAGAAAGCATTTTCATGCCCTTTTCATTCTTATGAATCTGAGATAATACTGGATGTCCTTTAGACAAGATGAACCTAAGAAAGATCAGATATGAGACCCTGAAGAAAATTTAGAAACAAGTATTCTTTCCTAATTTCAATAGTGTGTCCTAGACCTTGATTCCCAACACTTGCACTTTGATCACATGTGTTGAGAGCTGTCAGTAAAACTGTGGAGTCATTTTAATATCTACCTGAACATTATTGATCGGATGATGTGTGTTTCACTTCTGTGGTCAGCTATGGGTCAGCTATGGGTTTTCAGAGTAACTTCACTTATCTCTTTTATCAAAATTTGTTCTTCCTAAACTCAAGTTACACTGCATTTCTTGGTAGAGAAGCAGGTCAGTTGGCCTTAGTGGAGTCATCCCAATATTACACTGCAGTATCCAAGAATAGACTTTGATCCAAGGACTTTAGGGAATGTACAAAAGCAGATGTAGTTTTCCCAACACATGATTTAGCTGATACCAACCATAAAAGTGTAAATAGGGTTTAACCTTGCTTACTTGTCCTCTTTAAAGTAATTCAGAAAATATGAATAAATTTTAACATTAAAAAGTAAGTAACAAAAAAAAAATCTTGTTTCTGATAAACCAGAAATTCCACAGAATCATACAAATGGCACAAACAAATCAGTGTTTAATGGAACTTTACATCAGCATGCAAACGCTGATCTGAATGTGCAGTTATTTTACAGGTGAAAAATTACATCTACATTATGCATACTATTATGAGGAGTGACCGAGGTCACTTTGTTCAGCTAGAAGAGAAGATTGAGGGCTGACCTCATTGCAGTCCTTCCTTCCTCAAGGAGGGCAGTGGAGGGGGAGGTGCTGATCCCCTCTCTCTGGTAACCAGTGACAGGACATGGCAAAATGGCATGAAATTGTGTCAGGGGAAGTTCAGATGGGACATTAGGAAAAGGTTCTTCACTGAGAGGATGGTCAGTCACTGCAACAGGCTGCCCAGGGCAGTGACCATGGCATCAAGCCTGACAGAGTTCAAGGAGCATTTGGACAATGCTTTTAGTCATGTGGTTTAGTTTTAGGTAGTGCTGAAAGGAGCAGGGAGTTGGACTTGATGATTCTTATGGGTCCCTTCCAACTTGAGATATTCTATGATTCTAAGACTACAAATTATGAAGAAATAATACTCCAGATTAGGCCTTTACTTCCCTGCTTCACAAATTTACAGAAAAAAAAAAATTATTTGGACATTCAAGAATACTTCATACAGTTGTTTTCTAGATCTAGAAGTCTCTGAGGGGACCTATAGTTTTACTCATTAAAACGAGTCTTTATCATATCCTTGGGGATTTGTTTCAAAACAGTTGGATAGCCAGTGCAGACCATGAACGTAAGCTGGATATACAGATGTATTCTGCTAAATACTGTGCTTGTCTTCTTTCATTTTCAAGACAGAGTAGTTTTTGGTAGTTTTGACATTGAAATGACAGAAGAGTACATCTCTTATTACATAGGTCTTTTATGAAAACAGAAGAGAGCAGTGTTTTGTCCAATGCAGAGTATGATTTTCTTATTACTGTGCTGTCCTTTCAGATATTGGATATGCAAGCTAAGTCTTATATATGCCAGAGACATTGTATCACTTTGTCATCTGAGATCTCCTGCCCTTAATAACTGATACAAGTAAAAATGTTATCAGATTTCTCAAAAACTTTCTATCCAGTATGTATTAATATCTCTTCTAGCTTTCTGCGTTAAATGAGAGCTGCATTCTGATCCTGCCTTGCAGTTGGACAACTTATGACAGCAAAAGTTGAATCCATAGAGAGAGAATGCAGGATAGCTGCACATCAGGGTTCTCTTCCTTTAGAGCTGAAGAACGTATCTCCAAGGAACACTGAGTGGTTTGTGACAGTGACTGGCAGGTGGTTTTGAGACAGGGCTGAAGCAAATCTTTCTCTTTGTTTTGCCTCCTCTGTCAAAGATCTATGCCATGATTTGGAGATGTGAGCACAGAGCCATTTTTGGCTTTGCTTTCTAGAAGATTTTCATTGTGGAAACTAGACAACAGAGTTGGTAGTTCAGTTCAGTAATTGCATCTGTTTCTCTTCCGTTGTTTTCTCAAAGTTTTCTGGGACAAGCCTTCTGATGGTGAAGTCATTTATTTAGCTAATAGTGGGGAACTGGGAAGAATCTGTATTGCTTAGTTATGTATGACTCAGTTTGTGCTTATTTATGAGGGGTTATTTGCAATGGAAGTAGATCAAACAAAGCTGTCAGGAGAACCAAACGTAAAAAGCAACCAATTGCCTAGATAAGGAGCATCCCAACAAACATTTGAGCTCTATTAATATCTGTGAAAAGGCAACTCCTCCACTCCACCCCTGATTACACAGCTGTTTGCTAAAGTCATGAACTTTAAGGTTAAAAGATCCACTGTGCAGGAAGGGAGGAGAGAAACTGATGCAGGCTGACCTTGCCTTGCTGAGAGTCAGGGTCTGCACCACATAGGCTGTAATTGGGTCAGCCAAAACAAACCAGAGCAAAAATAGGTACTTCAGGGAAATGCCAAGTATAGGTAAGACAGTATGCTTATAGGTCTCCTGGCTGTTCTTTAATCCATTTCTGGGAGTACTGTGCCTGCTTTGGCAAATAAATCATACTTTGTTTTGAAGAAATGGCTTCTGTTTTATTGCATACGCTGTTGCTGTCCACAGACTCCCGAAGGAAAATTCTTGCGGGTGCCAAGCCCATTTGGGCCTGCTCAGTAAAATGGTTCATCCCCAGTGCAGTGCAGTTCAGAGACCTGCCAGAAAGTGGTTAGACTATAGATCCTACCCAAAGGGAATGGAGAAACAGACATGTTACTGGAAAGGAATGAACTTACCAAACTGGAAAAGACCTGACAATGTGTAGGAAGTAACCTTTTTCTTCAGTTTTCAGAATGGTCTGTGGAGGAACCTGGCAGGTGTTTAACACATCCAAAGTATAACAGCAAGTCAGGGAGATGGCATCAAGTAAAGCCACCAACCAGGATGGTTGACCTAGTACCTTTGGGGGTTAATTGTCTTGAGAAATGAACGTGTCTCACTAGCAAGGAGCCTGCTTCCAAGCTGTGTAGTCTGCCTCCAGTACAAAGGAGAATCAATTGATCTAGGAAATAAACAGCTGATCTGAGACCAAATTTTGGCTAATTCTGATGAGCAAAACTCAGGTCATAATGCTGTACCGTTTGAGCTTCTGGTGTTAAAAGTGAACTAGTGTTTTCCTTAAATTGTATCAAGAAGCTTCTGTCACAATTTCACACACAAGATATTTATGTCTAGTTTTTAACGTTCTGTTTCTATCTCAGAAAATGCAAAATAGCCTAGCTAGATTTCTGAAATTCTATATATCATTGCATGTGTACTTTTGTGTCTGTGTAACTTGCCTTGGGATTTACCGTGATTGTCTGTGGAAAAAACCATAACTACGCATGCAAATAACCTGTTAGATGTCTAGCTGTAGGTATAGTTGCAGCACAAGCCCATGCAGGAATAGAAATCTTACCCAACAAAGAGAAGCTATAAAAGTTTCCTTAGCTTATATGCCATCTACTCATTTTAGGTAGAGTTGTACCCAGGGATTTGATAGAAATATTTCAGGGGAATGCACCTGCACAAGGTGGGGAAGGCAAGTTGTATGTCTGAAGAACAGGCTTTTGCTCATGGTAAAATGATTGCTGGAGACTGCTTTTTAATGGTACATGCAAGAGAGGTTTCACATCTTTTCCAATAAAGATTGGAGCTGCACTAAGCAGCCTTTTCTGTTTGCTCGCTGTGATTTTAAAAATTAATTTGGCTCCATCACAGTATCCACAAGCATTCATGCCAGTGTTCGGTATTGACATTTACTCACACAAACTCTTGATACGTGCAGTGTATCATTCTGTTGGCAATCAAAGGAGCCAGGTAAGGTAATTACTGCACCCATTACAATGAGACCCTGGTATACACGGATAATTTGAAGCTGGTTGCCAACAAGTAATGCATCGATCTGAATTATGGCATGCTGAGTGTCTTCGAGGAAGCATGGCCTAGTTCCATACCTTATGTCAAGCAGTGGACTATTCTTCTCACATAATCAGAGATATATAATTGTGAATGAGGAAATACTGTTTCTTATTATCAGTGTCTGTGGGTGCAATGACAGAGATTACAGGCTCAAAGCCACAGTTGATGTTGGGTTTGGTATGCTTCAAGTGGGGCAGGAGGCCCCACTAAAAGGTTGGCCGAGCTTGATAAACAGGTAGTCAAATGAGCCTATAAAGGGATTCTAGTTCCCATGCACAGTAAGAGGCAGTTGTTTGCATGCTGTTACTCTGAATTGAAAGATAAAATTTAATTTGACCTCTTCACCTTCCTAATAATTTATACTGTGACCTACTTTTTTCCTCAAGAATAAAGCTTCTGCCATGGATACTAAGGCCAAAATGGAAGATTTAGACTTGATCAAATAAATTATTCCTGTTTAGCTTTTGTGGTGGCCTTAATGTATATCTCTCTGATAGAATCAAAGCTCAAAGTAACTTTGATTTTGGAAGAGCACCCTAGCACATGTATTTAAAATTAAGCTTATGCTTAGATGACCTGAGGACTAGGAAGGAACATAAGCATTTCTGATGCCTTTGGGAGTTTCCTTCATTCAATCAAGAAGCAAACTACTCATCAATTGATTTTTATGACCAGTGACAGCTAACCGATACTGAACAGATTTTGACTGTCAGATATTGCATATTCCCAGCCTGGGTTTCTGTTCATTCCACAAAATAAAGGAAGTTCACACAAAAATACGTCACCTATGTTCCAGGAATCCTGTAATTGCAACCATAATATCTAAGGATGTGTGAGGTGTGGGTTTTTTAGGGAAGGATAACACCTTTCATTAGACCAACTGGTACAGCTAGAAAAAAAGCAGATAAGCTTTAAGTAGCCTCAATGAGTTGATGAAGAGACCAAGCTTGGAAACAGCCCCACAGGAGAATGTTTGGTTAACAATGTCAACAGCTGGCAGTTTAAAAATATCTTGATTGGTCATGTGCTTTTCTTTGTTATAGGTCCCTCTGCTCGTTTGAATCATGTATAAAGAACAGGTAATTGGAAAATCTAACCCCGTATGCACCCATAATCATCACTCAAGGTCTGAAGTGGCAAAAAACATCAAGAAGTTTAGTTTATTCTCTTGTCTACAAGCCAAAATAAGTTGTAGTTAATTTTCAGTGTGTTCCTGCATAATGGTTCTGAGGGGAAAATATGTTGCTCTGCTGTAAAGCTTCTGTGCCAAGGAATTGTGTTTTGCCTCTGAATATTTAAGGTTGCCAATAAACTATTCTTGTTGGCAGGTTAATAAGAATATAAACACTGTGCAGTCCTGTGTTAATACTTAATTGTGTTTATGGGCAAAATTAAGAGACTTTGCTCACTATCTGGAAAGTAATACTTATTTCAAGTTGTTAAAAATATGTAACTATTTCAAACTATTTACTTGCTTCTTATTTGATTTGGAAAAGGGCTGTAAGCAATTAGGATGAAAACCAGAATAAAGATCTATAAAAAAACAATCACAAGAAAAAAGTTATGGTGTATTATGAAGGACCTAAATTGTCATATGCTGGAGTCACTGGTTTTTAAAATTAGATGAACTTGATATCTCTGGTGGAGCTCTGAAAAGCAGACAATCAATAATGAATGTGAGACGATGTCTGTTGAAAAGTTACTTATGGGATATGATGTATACAATGCTAATATGCAAAGATATACTGAATCCTAGTAACATTCATGGCACTTTAAAAATATTGAGACACCTTAAAGGGTCTCTTATTTGCAACAGACTGTGAAGGTTATAAATAAAATTCAGAGTACTGCACAGAGGTCCAAGATTTAGAATTCATTCCTGCACTGCAAAATGAAGTGAAGCTGGTTTGTATCAGCAACCAGAACTTTTGTTGTGTCTTGTTCAGGTCATGCATAAGTTGGTCCTTTGTTTCCAATTTGTATGGCTGTTGTATGTTGTCTCACAAGTATTTATAGCAGCATCTTTTTCAAATGCTAACTACTTTGGTAGTTGTTGTTGTACATATTTTGAAAATGTTTCGTTAAATTGATTAAAAGGACAAATGAAAATGCTTTTTCACATTTCCTATATTGTAATGAAACTGAAGAAGAGAAGGTTTGTACATTTACGTTTTTATAATCACAGACAGGAGTGATGGCAGATTTTTTTTTTTTGAGTTGAAATTTAAAATGTATAGCTATGTAATGTTGAAAGCATGAGAATATTTAGCCATCTGCATTTAAAGTGACTGCATATTATATATTGTAAAATATTGATGTCTGTTAGTGCCACAAATAAAAACAAAATCAAAACCTGACATGGCTTGAAAGACTCTTTTTGCCAAATGTTTTCCATTTACAGAAAGAAATTAGAATTAGAGATGGACTTAGGCAAACCAGTATGCTGTGTTTGATATCTCATGTCTAATATAAAATGTCTCAAGCCAGGAAAGGGCTCACAAGTAATAATCTAGGAACACAGTGGAAATCATCAACTAGAATCAAGATTTCAGAGTTATATACACTTTGATAGTAATGCAGCACTGATAATAATCTATTTCCTCATTAGGGGAGCTAATTATTGAGAATTAAGGTGCTCTGTCACACCCTAGGATAAATAAGATCACCTTTGTTGACTGGTTAGCCTTCTTTTGCCTTAAAAGTTTTCTCAGGATGCTTTAGATCAGAAATATTAACATGTTAAAGATGCTATCACAGGGAAGTATTCAGTTAAATGCTGTAGTCCCACCAGCAGCAAATATAGCTTCCTTGGTTAGGTACCATAAACCAAAATTCCTGCTTAGTGTTGCCTGAAGGGCCTGGGTCTGTAGCACCTCCTTACTAACGCTCCTTTGGTGTAATAAGTTGTATGAGTATTTACTTTTCAATGTAAGGGATCCAGGACTGGATTTTGAGATAAACACCAGGCTTTTCAAGGCAAATGTCCTGATTCTGGTGGCTGGCACGGTATAGAACTAAAATTTATAAAAGAGTTCTTAATGAATAAACTTCTGAGTATTGAATTCCCATGGGTCAAAAACTATAAACAGCTGCAGATGAGATGTCACCTTCACTGTGACAGCAAAAAAATTACAAAAAATCCTGCTGGCTCAATCACAGCTCAAGCTAAAAATGGAGGGGGAGTTCAGCTGCTTACAGTAGGAAGCTAGACTGGGTGTTCGTTCCCTTCCCTTGTTGCTGGGATGCTCTTACATTGTCATCCCGGTGCTGTTGAATTCCTGGTAGCAGCTTAATTTAACCCTAAGTGAGCAGACATTTCACTATAATGAAGTCTAGTTATAGGTATGACCCTTCCATGAAATAGCTTTCTATTAATGCTTTTAGCAGTCTTCATTTGGGAAGTAGTCAGTGTTCTAGTGCATATCAGGCAAGCACTCTGAAGCTCTTCACCCACTCATCCCTTCTTTTACCCTGCTTCAGGGCTCAGAAACTGGGTTCCTACTGAATAACATTAGTTCAGGAGATGTGCTCCAGCACAAATGGGCATTCAGTCCATGGAACCATGCTGGAGGTTGTCCTAAGATAAAAGAAAAAACCCTGAAATTTGTCTGGTAAAGATATTGTGTCCTCAACGCCAAGTATTTTCATCTATATAGCTGTTCTTACTGGTGCACGCCGTTTGCTAGTGCAGACAAAGCCTATGTCTGCAGGTATACATGCCACCTAGGTTAGCCCCTGACACATCCTTTCATGGCACTTGTAGCTGGACAATCTACAGGCTGGTTTCTTTTTTGAAGAACTGAAAGGACGGTGAGCTCCCCTTTTCCCCAGTGTATCTCTCAGCCTCGATTTTCCCGATATACTCTTGCCTCAGTTCAAACAGAGGAAAGAGTCTGATATATGCCCGAATCATTTGGTCCTTTATATTGTCTTTTTGAGTAAGATATTGAAATGAGGTGGAAAATGGCATCACCATGGAAATTGAATGGATAATTTGGATTTGGTATCTTTATTCCTTGTACGGGTATAAATCAACGTTCAGGTCTTAGAGAAATCTATTCTCATGTCTCAGATAAAATTTGTAGGTCTCCCCTTCACTTTTTTACATGTTTTTATTAACTTTTTCTTATTTTACTGACCTCAGAGTATTACTCAACCATAAAGCCAGCATTAAATCGCTCTGATTAGATATTTAATTTTAAATAATATTGGCTGTCTGCATGAGCTATTTGACTTCTGGGACTTCATTACAGATTCTTCTTCCTTGTACAGACAGCCTGCTAACGTGGTTGTGCAGAGTATTGGACCGAAAGACCTTTTGACATGTTCATCAATCTACAGAGTTTCGAAAATGGCAGGATTCAACTTCCCCAGCTCATACAAGTGATTTGTACAATTTATGCTACATTTACCACAGCCAAAAATTGGCACTTCATCAGTGTGTAGGAAAAAGGAAGAGAACAAGAGATGCATTTATGAAATAGTGAAAAATGCCACCCTAAGATAGTTTGCGATGTTTTGCCTCTAACCTTTCCAGAACAGAAAGAAGCAGTTCTGTTGTTTGATGCTGCTTAGCATTAAGCACATGGTTTAATGTGAATGCAAAGATCTGCAAAAAAACTTGATTTGAATTAAATGTTCATGAAATTGTTCTTCATTGGTGCAATATGAAAAATACCAATTAGCAACTTTTATATATTTATTCGTGTGTACTGTTTCTCATCTCTAATCCTCTGTTGAGTTACACGTGCGTTATGTGTACCAACGTGCTTTGCCTCTGAGACTTCTGTTAAGATTTATGAGACTAGTCCTGTTCTTACTCTGTTTGTTACTGTTGAGCACAAACAATAAAATATGCTATAACCTTGATATAGCTATAGCTGCCATAATGGTTGCATTTCCCTGCTTGCAGAAAATTACCTTTGCAATAACAGAGTTCCTTTCTTAAAAATAAAATTAAACAAAGAAATTCCTACTTTTTCAGTAATGTTCACCTGGATTTGGTGCAACATTGTTCCAATCTGTTTTTCTTTTTCTTACATAGTAGGGTGTGGAGTTTAATTCATTGCTGATGTCTTCATTTGGCTGGAGAAAGTTTCCATATAGTTGAATTCCCAGGGTTGTTCATCAAAGTATGCTAAGATGGATGAACTTTTCTCAGAGCAAAAAGGTACTCTCTTTTTGTTATTGTTACTAAATATTATTAAGTATTTGTTAAACAAATATAATTTGGTTAAGTACTAACAGGCTACATGATGCTGCACCAGATAGGTCACATGCTCCTGTGTTTGTCTACCAATTTGAGGGGGGGGGGGGGGTTTGTTCTTGTTTAAACAGTTTTCTGACTTGTTGCAACACTGAAGACTCTTTAAAAAGAGAGATAAAATAGAACTGCTTAACAGTAGTATTGTGCTTTTCACACTTTAGGAGTTTAAGAACAAACTCGCATCCATTGTCTGTTCCCTCTCATCACTCATTCCGTATGTACGGGAGTGCACACACACAATCTCCTTCATTGTTTCAGGAAGTCAGGGGTAGTTAAAAAAGCATCTTTACCACAGGATCCTTTTCCATTTTTAACAGTAGCTTTTTTTGTCCTGTAAAATAGGAACTTTGAGAAAGTCAGAGACTAAGTTTTGATGCAGTCACAACAGCTATACACAGTCACTGCTGGAGGCAATGTCAAATCCAGCTCCAGATAATGCTATCTTCAGCCAATTCCTTTTGCTTTTTTCTTCTTTACATTTTTGTCTGTAGAGTGATAAAAACATGTACATGCCATGTCTGTTTTCTGAGGTCATTATTGTGCTCGAAGCCCCAAAGGTTTCCCCCTGAACAAAGCATAGTGGTGTTGCAGTTGAACACCAGACTGAAAGAGGGCATTATTCATACACAAACACCACTGTCCAGTTTGCAATTCAGGAGTTGAAAAAGGAAACCTTAATGAAAGAACAAGACTGTGGAACATCATTGTCTTTCACATCATAACCTGTGTTTACTGCAATAGGAACAAAGCAAGCACAGTGCAAGTATGCATGGGTTTCCTTTGTCTCATTTCATGCATTCAACAGAGGAGTTTCTGTCAGAAGCACTGGGACCTGTCCCTTGTAGTGCTTGGCACGGGGGCAGTGGGTCACAACTTGACGGTTCTGGTTTGGGTCGCACTACTTATCGGTTCTGTAAATTTTTTATTTTTTTTTTTTTTTGCCTTGTAATAAACCAAAGTGTGGTTTGTTGTAGCCAGTTCTCACGATGGCAAACTGAATGCTTCCATTACAGTGATGAGCAAAGTCTCTGCAGGTGAATGGCAGTTGAGGTGGAGAGTGATTTGTTAGACGGTAGCTCATGCAGTTTCATCTCCTCCTTAAACCACAGGTAATGGTAAAGGGAGAGGGAAATGGATTGTGTCTGCCCTCTGACAAAAGTGAGACACAGGTAACCCAAAGGGCTGCAGTCCTCCCTTCCACAGCAACACCTAACAGTGCAGATGACGTACAGGAAGCACCTCGCTAAGCCGTAGTTCCAACAAAACTCCTGATGCATCTGGATTTTGGAAGTCGCCAAATTGATCCCAACTCTGCAAGTATCTCTGCTAATAGAGCTACATGGTTGGTTGATGTGCTCAAGACCAGACTTGGCTGTCCCCACTGTAGGCCCTTTGCTGGTAAAATCCAGCCCTTGGTCCTTCAGTCAGCCATGGTGGTGGGTGAACCCAGCGCGTTCCCTAACCAGCTGGCACTGAACACAGAGCAGTGGTTTGGCTGCCTGCACAGTGCATGTCCCCTCATTCATTAGCCTCACTGCTAATGTTCCAAACTTCCCAGCTCATGGAAGGAACTGTCAGAGGCAATTTGCAGATAGCCAGTGCTGCAGAAGTGCAAAGAGTTATATTTTTAAGTGTTGTTGAATAATTTAGCAACAATTCTCTGTTATGTAAAATTACTGCTTTACTGCTGCTGGAGCCAGTGTTTGTACAAAGTGTTCTTCTAAGCCCAGTTTCACAAGTTAAAGCTTGCTAGTTTTATCCTATGCATCTGTCATTAGAATTTTTCCAGTTCAAACTGGGAATCAGTGCAGGTCTTACATTCCAAGAGAGGGCTGTTCCCCTTCCTCATTCTCATCTATACTCCTGATCATCCTACCTATTTTCCAAATAGTCAGTTTTGCACTAGGTTGCATATTAGTGCTTGTTTTGTCCACAGAGAAGGATGCTGTGTTATGTTTTTCCATGTAGATGCCATGGAAGTCATCCTCATAGACCTTTTCTTTCTATTAGGGAGCAACCTATGATGCATTTCCATGAAGAGTGGCCACAGGTTTCATCCTCTTACCCTGGGGTAGAAGTCTGTGCACTA